TGAGTCAATAGAGTTCAAGCTTGTTTGCTCCAAGGCTGTGAGAAAGTTCTGATTAGCCCATAAGAGGGAACATACTATCTGGCTAGATGCAAGCTGCTGATGCCCTCCAGAGGTACATTGAGATAGAAAATGAAACTGCCTGTTCCTTGGTGCAAGGCAGGATAGATAGTTGTTGAATGCCTGTGCTGTGCATTGTTTTACCTCTGTCCTTCAAAACTGTATATAAGCTGGCTGTGAAATAAACTTGGGGATGTTTGGCATTGCTGTCCGGCATTGACCAGAAGACTTCTCAACTCTTTTCTGTCTTCTTCATTGTCTCTTCAATCCGCACGTCTCTACCCAGCTACCCAGCTGACTGTCGGCAGGCCGGACAAATTCCCCAGTCTCATCCCTATCTCTGTAACAGAATACCACTGCAGCCTTCCCTCACCCTTCCCTTCACCTCCTGTGGATCCCACTGACCATCCTCTTCTACCTCCCTCCCAGTCCCCAACTCCAGCAGGCACCCCTGGCTAACCCAAGGGCAACTCTTCCCAGGGCAACAAGTAGACTGAAGGCAGACCCATACCTCTCCTACTGCTCCTGAAATCCAAATCTCCAAGCCTCATTGCCAGCTCTGTGGCAAGAAACCTATTGTGGTCTCCCTTTCCTTTTTGATCCCATCTCTAATGCATCACAAAAGTATTCTCCAACCTTCCCTCCCCCAACTCATCCCAGTTACCCAGCTTCCAACACCAGCAGGCATTCCCTATGAACACACCAGCTGAACAAGCCAGAAAAACAGACAATGCACAGCCATCACACTCTCCAAAAATTCAGAGAAGAAACAGAAACCCAGGATCAAAACACCCACCCAACAAAGACAAATCCAGAAATCAGCTCATAGAACTTTAATCATCCAAATCCAGATGCCAAGATGCCAGCATAAGAACACAATCAACACCAGCCAAGGCAATATGTCTCCACTAGAACCCAACTATCCTATTTCATCAAGCATTTAGCCATCAGGACAATGCAAATCAAAACTACTTTGGGATTCCATCTGAAACCTGTCAGAATGGCTAAGGTCAATAACACAAATGACAGCTCATGCTGGAGGGGATATTGAGCAATGGGAACATTCCTCCATTGCTAATAGAAGTGCAAACTTGTACAGCTACTATGAAAATCAATATAGCAGTTCCCAGAAAGTTGGGAACTGATCTACCCAAGACCTAGCTGTACCACTCTTGGGCATATACCCAAAGGATGCTCCACCCTACTACAAGGACACTTGCTCAACTGTGTTCATTGGGGGTTTTATTCATAACAGCTAGAAACTGGAAACAACCTAGATGCCTCTCAATAGAAGAATGGATTTAAAAATGTGGTACATTTACACAGTGGAGCACTACTCAGCTGTTAAAAAAAAATGGCATCATGAAATTTGCAGGCAAATGAATGGAACTTGAAAAAAATCATCCTGAGTGAGGAAAGCCAGACCCAGAAAGATAAATATGGTGTGTGTTCACTTATAAGGGGATATTACTTGCTAAGTAAATGGAAACCAAGCTACAATGCATAGACCCAGAAAGTTCAGGCAAAGAGGAAGGGTCTGGGAGGATGCAGGGATCTCCCTGAGAGAGGGAAATAAAATAGATTTTATGGACAGACTGGGAGTAGAGTCAGGACATGGGGGGAATCAGGTGAGAAGGGGAGATAAGGTGAAGGGAGAGAGTTCAGGGAAAGACAACTGGAATGGGGGGGCATGAGGAGGTGGTGTGGAAACCTAGTGCTGTGGAAGCTTCCTGGAGTCTATTAAGGTGAGTCTAATGAGGACTCTCAGTAGTGCGGGATACAGAGTCTCAACTGGACATCTCTTGTACCCAGGCAAGGCTTCCTGTGTTGAGACTAAGATGCATTCAATTGAGTCATTGGCCCAGGAGGGTGGGATCCTGTGGAAATCCTAAAACAACACAGGCTGTTGCTGAGACAAGCTGACAGTAGGGGCCCCATTGCCAAGGACAACACCCATACAACTCATTGAACATGGAAAAGTTGGTGCTTACTTGGAGCACTTACCTCACTCCTACATTCTAGTCTCTTCGGCGCAGGAAGGTACTCTGCAGGATACGGAAAGAGAAACGTGGACACCAACCCAGCTACAACCTTTGAACTACAATCTGTCCTGGCTACAAAATTATGCTGGGCAATGGTGACACAGAATGTGTGGGAGTAGCCAATGTTATTTGCTCTAAGGTCCACTCTGAGAAGGAACACACACCTAATACTGCTTGAGTAACCAAGAACTAAGGACTAGACAGCCCAGAGACCTAGGATAAAACCAAACACTACTGGTCTTTAAAAAAAAAGTTGCTGGGAAGGAGGTGGTGGTGCATGCCTTTTAATCCCACCACTCATGAGGCAGAGCCAGGCAGATCTGTGTGAGTTTCAGGAAAAGCTCCAAAGCTACACAGAGAAATTCTATCTCAAAAAAAACAAAAAGGGAGGGGGAGGTTAATAAAATATTTCCTAGTGATATTCTGCTATACTCATAGGTCAGTGCCTTATCCAGTCGTCATCAGAGAGGCTTCCCCTGGCAGCAAATGGGAATAGATACAGAGACCCACAGCCAGACATTATAGAGAGGTTGAATCTAAAATTAGAGGTCTCCATCAAATCCCTCCCCTCAGAGCTCAGAGAATCCTATTGAAGAGGAAGTATAAAGATTATAAGAGTCAGAGAGGATGGAGGAAAACAGGAGAACAAGGCCCTCTGAATAAACTAAGCAAGGTGCATATGAGCTCACAGACTGAAAGCAGGAGGCACAGGGCCTACATGGGTCTGCACCGGGTCCTCTGTGTTTATATTATAGCTGTGATAGCTATTAGATTAGTATTTTTATGGGATTCCTGACTGTGAGAATGAGTGAGTTCTGATTCTTTTGCCTTCTCTTGGGACTCTTTTCCTCCTGTTGGGTTGCTGTGTCCAACTTTGATATGATAGTTTTTGCTTCATCTTATTATAATTTATTTTATCATGCTTGGTTGTTATCTCTTAGAAGTCTGTTCTTTTCTAATGAGAGATATAAGGGGAGTGGATCTAGAGGGGAGAGGAGATGGAAAGGGGGACTGGGAGAAGTAGAGGAGGAAAAACTATAATCTGGATATATTGTATGAGGAAAAAAATCTATTATTAATAAAAGGAAAAAAGAAATTTTACAATAACAGATGAAATGCTAAATATATTTTATGTTACTAATATCAACCAAGAGATACTAAACCAATATGCTCATTGGCCTTAGAGGCTAATTTTTTTGCCTTTAGAGTGTTTGGGTTTTGTATTTTGGAGACATAGTATTTCTACATATCCCAGGCTGGCTTGGAACTTGCTGTGTGTTGTGGAATATTTTGATCACACTCTGACACTCCCAAGACTGACAATAAAGTTTACCTTGAATCAAGGGCAGAGCTAGCTAATAGCTGACCAGAATTAGCCAAGAGGTTTTGGAAGACTGAGGACATATAGAGAGACACAGGAAGTAGTAGGCAGGGGCTCATAAAGATTTGAGAGCCCTTTTTGGATTGAGGAAAGAGAGAGAGAGGAGGTCATTGGTGTCATTGGTTGCTTCTCCACAGCTTTTCTAATCCATCAGGTCTTTATCCTGATATCTGATCCCTGAGTTTTATTTAATAATAGAACAATATAAGTAATCGCTTCAGCTGTGTGGCTCAGAGTGGTCTCAAACCCATGATCCCCAGTGCTGGCAGATAGGCTCCACTGTGCTCAGATCCATTCATTGTTCTTAGCACTAAGACTTCAGCAGTATGATTCTTCAACTAACAGGATTGTGAAGGTCGGTATCTCTTAGAAAGTTCTAGGCATCTAATAAATGGTGAACATGGCACTTACTCTCCCTATAGGCTCCAAACTTGCTAAAATAAAATTGGCCTGAAACAGCTGACATTGGGACAGAAATGATGCAACAGTTGAAATTGGAAAACTGTGTGAACAATAATTATGCCTAAATTCAGGGGAATGTGATTGTTCTACTGTGCAGCCTGTTATCTCTCTTTTACACACACACACACACACACACACACACACACACACACACACACACATACACACACACACACACACACACAACTACTTTCTTGTACAAATTACAGCTTTCATCAGTGTGCCCGGAAAGCACTGGCAGCAAGGTGTAGAAATTTATTACAGTATTTTTGAAGGTGGTGTTCTGAGCACCTTTATATTGCATACGTTCTGAATAAGTTCTGTCCAACTGTGTCCTGCTGGTGGAAGTACAGATAGTATTTCTATGAAACTATTAGAGTATATTGTTTACCTTAGTGCATGGGGCCCCCTGACTTAGACCCAACACACTAAAATTAAAATACTCAAGTTTCCACTTTATGACCTAGATAAAGAAACACTGGGAAGAATTTGGTTACAATCCTCAACTGATATCTTTACCCATTCTCATCTTTGTATTTATTTCATTACAGTCTGTTATTACTTTAGATTCTTTCCACAACATGAAATCTTTATTACTAACATAACTTACTCTATCTTCATGTATCCTAAAATAGCTTTATAAATTACTTATAATTCCTTATTCTGAAGTTTCAAAATATAAAACTCTCACATTTATGATATACCCAAGGAGTAGGCATAAACCTGAGCAGCCCTATTGGTAACAGCTCAGAAATGTTGTCATTTTCTTTATGATTATGAGAGTAGTTATGTGGCTGGATAAATGGCTCAGCAGTTAAAACCATGTACTGCTCCTACAGAGGACCTGAGTTCTGTTCCTAGAGTCCATCGGTCAAGTACCTCCAGAGGATCCAATATCCTCTTCTGCACTATGTGGGCACCTGCACACATCAACACACAATCACACGCATGTACACACATTTTTAAAATGAAACAAATATGTTTTAAATAAGTGTATTTAAGAGGAAATAAAAGCAGAAAGTTTAATTTTTATCTATTTTATTAATTTTATCTCTAATAATTTATGCTTCAAAAAATAAATCTCAAGTAAGAATAATACATTGTTAACTAACAGTTATCTATATGCTGGTGATTTGTATTTTAGTCTAAGTGTCTTCATTGTTCAAGCTTCATAAAAGGTTCCTTGTTCCTTGTTCAATAGAGATAGCTAAAAAGAAAAATGATAAAATACAAATAAATTAAATATGGTTTCCCAGCTCAGAAAATCTTGATATACATCCCATGCATTTTTCCATGACATTCTACACACATACTTAACAAAATTTGAATTATAATTCCAAATTTAATATTTGAAATTCTGCCTCATTCTAAGATTTCATTTCATAAAGCCTGGGGAACTTTTTGAAAGAGAAAAATAGCCTTTCTTCTCTTGAAAAGTTGCCATCACTAAATAATGTAAGATGAACGCCGAGTACTATATGTTGGTGGTATTATCCAGGCTTTAAAAGGCTGTTGAGTTGAGCCAACACTATTCAGTCCTCTACAGTTCAAGAAGCTACTGTTCCTGGTAGCCTGCTCCTAATTGGCTTGCATTTCATTTCCTGAGAGTTCCTGCCAATTTGCCCCCTCCCCGCATCATCTACCAGGCTGTGGCCTCTGCGGCAGGCAGTGCTGGGAGCTCTCAGACCCTCCTACGTAATCCTCCGTGACAGCCCACATCAACTGGTGGCTTGTCTGTCACTCCTGGTACCAAAACAAACCCACTAGATGTTTAGGTTCAAACAAAGCAGATTCATGATGGTGACACGTCCAAGCTCTACAAAATGAGGTCTGTGCCTTAGAGTTAAACCACAGCTGGCACTCTCTCCTACGCGGCTTTCCCTCTGATTCCACCATAGAGTTACACAAAGAAGTGAGTTTCAAACCAGGGTTCAAGTTTGTAATGTTAATTAATGATTGTGTCTCTTTTGTCTCTTTGTGCAGTAGTTTTGTTACAGATTTTTTTAAAATAGAAATTCTGTTTAAGGATAAATAACATAAAATGGTCAAGATTCTAAAACGACTTCTAAATATCGAAATCTCGGTGTTTTTATTCAGTTTTTTTAAAGAAAAAAAGTCAAGTATTGACATCTCTTTTGTTTGGGGGGGGGGAGAGTGGAGCGTAAATCTTGCATCTTTACCTAAGGTTTCCATAACTTGTATTCACAGCATACTGGTGGCATTATTCAGGACTTTAGAGGATGCTGATCTGAGTCAGAATTACACATTTTTCTGACATCTGGGTACTACGTTCCTGGTAGACTGGCCCTCATTTGTTTCTGCTCCATTTCCTATGAGCTCTTGCCAACTTGCCCCTTACTCTGCCAAGCTGTCTCCCACCCTGCCAACCTGCCCTCACCCTGCCACCCCACCTTGACCTGTGGAATCCACCAGGTTGAAGCTCTACAGCAGACAGGAATGGGGACTCCCGGGCCTTCCCACTTAATCCTCCATGTGCAAAACAGCTTTTCAGAGCACGTGCTTTGCCAAATTGTGCTTCCTGTAATGAGAGGGAAGAAATGAAGCTGATGAAGAAATTTGCCTTCCTTCGAGTTACATTCACTTATAAGAAAACCATGACACAAAGAACAGTCTTCAAAGACACAAGGACCATAGCTTGAAGGCCATTAGCAACAGTTATCTTTACTTGACTCCAAGGAACTCTCTACAAGAGTAGTAGAAAATTAGTAAGTTTTTTTTTTAACTTAATACACATTTGTCAGAATTGAGGCCCAAAATGAAAGAATGTTGCCATCACTATAGTATTGCTCAGAGTAAAAGAATCAGCTTTATTCCTATACTAATTTGATCCTGGAAATCAAGAGACCTTGTGGATTCAGAGAGCTGAGCAACTGCTGAGCAGGTTAAATAGATTCTATGATCCCTTCCTCTCTCACTGTTCTGCCTTAGAGACAGTCATCACTGCTAACATTGGAATTAGGGAGAGTGATACAAGATCAAAGTGTCATCGGACCTACCTAGCAATAATGCAGCTCAGAGATCAAGGTCTCCGTCTATACACAATGATGGTTGGCACGTAGTAGAGGACAGAGGGAGAAAGGGAAGGATCCGTCTGTAATAAGACATTTGGTCAAGATGTAAGAATATTTTTAAAGTATCCATTTAAAGCTTAATCTGTCAAATCATAAAAATTAGACCAACGGACAATAAAGTCAACAGTTCAACAAAATTCTTCTTATACAAAACACTGGTGAGATATGAAAATTAATAACACAATGCCACCCTGAAAGAGTTTATGATCTGATTAAAAAAAAAGAAATGGAGAAGAACAGAAGTTAAATAGATATGTAAATAAAATAGGGGAGGGGAGAAATAATTTTTCTACCTGAGGTAGAAGCAATAAAGTGTTGTCTCCAACTTCAAGCGTCAGAAGGTTACTGCAGAGTGGTGTGAGTACAGAATGACTCCAAACTGAATGGTTCTCCTCATTGTTTAATCTGTGTAGATGTTCACGTGTGTATGAGTAAACTGTGGGTGCCGTTCCTTGTGACCCGAGGCTCACCAGTTTAGCTACACTGACTGGCCACTGAGCCCTGGAGATCCTTTTGCCTCCACCTTCCCAGCACTGGGATTATAAGCACATGCTACCGCACCTGGGTTTTTATATGAGTGCCGGGGGTTTGAACTCAGGTCCTTGTGCCTATACAGCAAGTACCTTAGGGGCAGGGCTATGTCCACGGGCCTCTGAGCTACTCTCCAGCCCCCTCCGAGACTTTCCCAGTGTCTGGATTCCTCTAACAGTGAGTGGTGTCGCACGGCCATTGCTGCTCTCATCGTTCATGACTGTTGGATATGGAATATTGTGAGTGACAGATTATTCATTCATGACTGTTGGATATGGAATATTGTGAGTGAC